TCCAGGTCAGATGTACAATTTGCACATTGAAAGTGACTGATGTGTCGTCATTTTTAATTAAAACATTCATTTCTTTGAATGTTGCAGTATATTTGGCATAAAGAATGTAAAGAATAATGTGCTCTGTCACTGTATTTGGTTTTGATTCCATCCACTCTTGATGGCTTAGTCCGCAGACCTAATAAAGTGAACAGCATTGGCATCTTCATTCATAATTATTTTAAAAACTTTATTTTTGCAAGTTAGATGTTGTATTTTGTATTAATTTATTTTGGAGACTGTACTCTCACATATTATAGCATGTTGACCTGTTACTGGGTAATGACCTTGAAACAAAAAAAAACATTCTCTGCTAGGCAAGCAATTCTTAATAAGCAAATATATGCAGCTGTTATTAGGTAATGACCTCAAACAAACACGTTCCCATTGAAACGCTTGGTGTCCAACAGTGAATGGTGTTTTCTGTGTGGTCCATGCTCAGATGTTACAGTTGAGACAAGTTTAGAAGTTAGTTGTAAGTTGTAAGAGAGGCTGTGAAGAGAAGACTTGGTCGATGTAGCTGAAGAATCACCACTGTTACTGTTAAACCCGTTACCAGGCAACAGCTGGTGAAGACAGAGAAGACTGAAAAGAATTACCATGTACTCTAATGATTTGCAAAGTGTGGAACTTAGCGATAGTGTTATAGTTATTTGTAGTTGCGACCCATAAATTGCCAATAAATCCAATCTCCAATATGAAACCCTTTGATATTTGGCAATATTTTTCAAAAGGAGAGACACTGTGTCATGTTCAGAGCCTCTGTGCTCTGATCTTTTGTCTGTTCTTGCATTGAATAGAGTCCTACAGAATCTTCAGACACTCCAAAATCAGATGTCACCGCGCCATACACATGTACATATGTGTGCATTTGATATCCAGTGGAAAGTACTGAAAGTACTGAATGGATTTTAAAATTTGTTCTCACATTTCTGAAATATCAGCATATATCTATTTAGTTGAGACTGACAGCTTTACATTTCTTCATGCTGTGTGTGCAGTAAACCTATTGTGATACAAAGAGTTTTTCTTGTTTTTAAAAATATGAAGGTTGGAACTTTAATAGTGGCAACTATTTATTTACAACTGATACAAAATAGATGCATGTTTCAAAGTTTTACTGTCCTTCAATGTAGTCACCAGCATTGTGTACAACCCGTTGCCAGTGATGTGGAAGTCGTACNACCCGTTGCCAGCCATGTGGAAGTCGTGGGGTACCTTTAGCAGCGCGTGTTGTGTTGATTGTTCGAATGGAGCGGTCTAGAACAGTTCTGAAGCGAATGCCACGAAGTGGTTCCTTCATCTTAGGAATCAAGTCGAAGTCACAAGGGCTTAAGTCCGGTGAGTATGGTGGACGGTACAGCATTTCCCAGCCCCATCGATCGAACAAATCAGCCACAGCTTGCCATTTCTGCATTTCCGTCAAATCATGCGGAACCCATCGTGATGTAATTTTTCTCATGCCCAGGTGTTCCTTCAGAATGTGAAGCACAGTCGTATGCGCTAATCATGTCTCTCAGGCCAGCTCACGAATTGTATGGCTTTGATCACTCTCCAGTAATGCGGAAAGAGCATGTACTTCTTCACTGACACTAGGACGACCTGGCCGATGCATGTCTGCCACATTTTGGCGTCCCTTGTTGAAGGCTTTTACCCACCTTGCCACTGTTCTGTAAGGCAATGCAGATTCCCCTTGCCACTGTTCTGTAAGGCAATGCAGATTCCCCGCAAGCCTCTTGAAGACCTTGGTGACACTGTCGTGCTGTACGGCCTCTGGCACATTCAGTCTTTATCCAACTCCGTTGTTCCTGTTTCAAAAACGTGACAACACTGCATTAGACCGCCAGCTAACATGAGGCTCTGTTCTTTTCATCACTGTGCATGCTTGTGATGTGGGAAGGGAGAGTCCATTTGCTCTGAGGTAAGGTAGGTATGTAACTAATGTATGGTATAAGTAACATTATTTGGTTCCGTTGCATGGCATCTCTACAGCAGTGTTGCCACTATTAAAGTTCCAACCCTCGTATCATTATTACCAGTGTGGGTTTCAACATAACAGATCAACTACCAATCTGATCTATTGCATTCATCAGATACTGGAGAAAAAATTGGAGTACAAGGCAACAGTACATCATCTATTTGTAGGCTCTAAGAAAGCCTGTGATTCAGTTAGGAGGGAAGTATTGTACAATATTCTGATAGAGTTTGATTTGTTTCATTCTGGTCCGTCACACTAACAGTTACAAATATAAATCACTCCGTCCAATGTGACCTGTAAGTTTTTTACTACATGAAAACTTAACACCCTTACATGTTTCACTAGTGAAAACAGCATAGCAGCCACGAGCAAACCCTGGACGATATAAAGAACCTCCACATCAAGATAGCCAGGTGGCACAATATCTGCCCCATATAAGAGGGATGATGAGAGGACGAACACAAGCCTGCATGGTTTACGAATTTTAATTATTGACAATCCAAAAAACTTTTAATTGGCATCAAGACATTTTATACAATTTTTTAAAAAACTTTACATTCCCAGGAAACTGCTGTGTTTGTGAAATGCTCCATCTAGTGTACTTTGTATTGTAGCATATAATTGTATGTACTTTACGTGTAAAAACTTATGTGATGGTGGTTTCCTATTTGTAGTGATGTTTGCCCTCTGAAGATGGTCCACAGAGACCGAAACATGTAAGGGTGTGAAGTTTTCATGTAGTAAAAAACTTACAGGTCACATTGGACGGAGTGATTTATATTTGTATTCTGATAGAGTTTGGGGTACCCATGAAAGTAGTTAGGCTTCTTAAAATATGTTTAAATGAAACATATAGTAAAGTCCATATAGGTAAACATTTTGTCTGATAATTTTCCTATCCAGAATAGTCTAAAACAAGGAGATGCGTCATTGCAGCTACTTTTCAACTTTGCTTTAAAATATGCCATTAGGAAGTTCCAGGAAAACCAGATGGGACTGAAATTCAAAGGGGCACATCAGCTGTTCTAAGTTGATGATGTGAATCTACAGGGTGATAATATAATTACCATAAAGAAAAACGCAGAAATTTTAATTGAAGCTAGTAAGGAGGTTGGTACAGAAGTAAACAGAGAAAACTATGTATATGTTGCTGTCTCATCACCAGAATGCAGGACAAAATGACATAAAGATATGTAACATGTTTTGAAATTGTGGCGCAGTTCAGATGTTTTGGAACGACTATAAGAAATCAAAACCTGATTCCAGAGGAAATTAAGAGGAGATTGAATTCAGGTATTGCTTGCTACCATTCAGTCTAAAAGCTTTTGTCTTCTCATCTGCTGCCTACAAACATAAAAATTAGCATATACAAAACTATAAATTTGCCTGTGGTTCTGTATTGTTGTGAAACTTGGTCTCTGACATTAAGGGAGGAACATAGATTGAGGGTGTTTAAGAACAGGTTGCTAAGGAGAATGTTTGGACCAAAGAAAGATGAAGTGACAGGAGGTTGGAGAAAACTGCATAATGAGGAGCTTCATAACTTGTACTCTTCTCCAAGTATAATTAGAATGATCATGTCAAGGAGGATGAGATGAACAGGACATGTAGCACGAATGGGGGATAATAGGAATGCATATAGGATATTGGTAGGAAAGTCAGAAGGAAAAAGGTCACTAGGAAGACAAAAACATAGGTGGATGGACAATGTTAAAATGGATCTTAGAGAGATAGGATAGGATGGTATGAATTGGATTCATTTGGATCAGGATATGGACCAGTGGAGGGCTCTTGTGATCACGGTAATGAACCTTCGGGTTCCTTAAAATGCCAGGAAGTTCTTGAGTAGCTGCAAAATTGGCGGCTCTGCAAGAAGGGCTCAGCTCCGTGAGTGAGTGAATAGGTTGATGGGAAGGGTATTTCAGTAGCTTTGAAATGAGCATGACATGTGATCTATGTCTCTAGGGTAGAAGTTATGCTGCTTTTTCTAAGACAACTTGTGTGCAGAAGACTAGCTCTTTAAAACTTTGGATGTTTGTTCTCCAAGATCTGATAGCCATAAAGCGATATACTTTGGCAGGAATTCCTACCTTCACTAGGATTTCAGTCTACAAAAAAAAATCGTAAATTTTTTAGGGGAGCAGGTTGGAAATGCCTTTTTTTCTGTGTTGATTTGATATGGAATGACTCAGAAATGTTTCTGATAAGATATCAATGTTTAAACGTGCAGTTTCCCTAAAGATAAGTACAGTTGTTGTATCTGCAGAAATTACAGCCAAGTTAAACCTGAGGTTACTGGTATAGTGTGAAGTGTTTCTGATAAGATATCAATGTTTAAATGTGCAGTTTCCCTAAAGATAAGTACAGTTGTTGTATCTGCAGAAATTACAACCAAGTTAAACCTAAGGTTACTGGTATAGTGTGAAGAAAAATGGTAGTCTTTCAGTGATTTAATATGTCTCATGTGAGCATTCTAACTTGCTAATCTCATATATTCAATTTTTTTTTGTGTGAGTGTTAATTTCATAAAGTAAATAATTCTGCTCCCATATTTAAGTGATTGGTTGGAAATTTAATACCTTTCTTATTGCTTTTTATTATAACATTAGTAGTACAGTTTGGATTGAACCCACCACCTTTGGAAAACTTGGCCAGTATGCTAACTACCAGCCATCAGACTAGACATAGTTGTTTCCAAATCAGTTGCCATAATGTGGGAGTGGAGCCAGCCCACAAATGTCATATTAAATATACCTCAGAGAGTTTACAATATTCAACATAATACTATGTAATGAATCAGCCATTGTCACAAACCTTTAGTGAAGCAGAAATTAGTGGTTTAGGTTGGTAGTACTGAAATAATTCTTAAACATAAGTAGGTTGGCAGCAATATGAATTGTTATAGCACTGACACTTGTCATGTGCAGTTCAGTTTGAGAAGTGCCTGTCATGAACGGTGTATTGTTTGTGCATTTCTCTACAGGTTACTGGAACAACATCAGAGAAAAGGAGTCAGCAGCAGGCACAAGTAGTTCAGGTGACACCTCGAGTGAGTTTATCTACATCCCCTGGCACAAAGGTTTTCACAACCACACAAGGTGGAAAAGTCACATTCCATGTGACGACAAATGCAAGTCTGCCCACAGGGATGCTACCATCTCAGACTCCAGAATCCTTAACATCTCAGACCAAAAAGCCCATGCCACCAGGCAGAGGCATTCCTCCACCTGTTCCACCTAATAAGCCTGTTGTACCCCCCAAAAAAGAGACTGTTTCTGTGGCAGTCCGTCGACCAGAAGCCTCTTCTTCGACAGCTGACAGTGTTCCAGCAGAAGGCAAGAGCCAGAAGCTGATATCCGGAGGTGCACAAGGAGTGAAGTTTGGTATTTCTGTAACTAAGGACAAAATCCCCACACAGGGTGTGGAACTGGTGGATAGTAGGAGGGACCCTCAGGTGGGTGCTGGGTCCCAGTGCTCTTCATCTGCCTGTGCCTCTTCTTCCACCCATGTAGAAGCAGCCAGTAATGCACGCAGTGGGCCTGCTCCTGCATCTATCCCTACAGACTTGCATGAGTCACCTCCCACCACTTCAGCTGCCCATGGTTTTGAAATGCTCGATCCAGAGCTGGCTGATTTCCAGCAGATATTAATTAGCATGGCTGCAGGTAAAAGGGCTTGATATTATTTCAGTTTCTATATTGGTTTCAGAGGGTTGGACAGATGACTGCTACATGAAATCGTATTTCCTCACACACAGCTAGGGGTCCTTGTTAGTTGTGTAGGATTCTTAGCTGAGTTTCTTAGTTTTTAGGAATACGTAGTAGATAGGTATATGGTGCAGAAGAGGATGTCTTAATTACAGAATAATAAATTTGTGTTCTTTAGTGGGTTATTGTGAATATCGAAATGCTATAGTCAGCTTCTGTATTTAATGGTTGTGAGATTAAATAGTAAAATACTCGCCAGAGGTCAGTCCTGTCTTTTGAAGGGATTAGGTTTTCAGAGTGTTTGTGTGCAAACTTCCATTTTCTTGATTACGGTTCAAGGGAGGGAAGATCATTGTCGTTCCAAATTGTCAGCATTGGTGAAACAGATTGCACTTTGTAACACATTAAAGTATGTAGATTTTCAGGTTTTTGCAACAGTGGGTATTAAGAGTTTTATCTTCCAGGATATGACGCTGTGTAGTCTGTTGAAAGTCAACCGACATTTTGGAGCAACATGTTGCCTCCATCTTCAGGGTTGAAGAATAAGTCAAGCAAGAATTGAGCATGAAGCAGATAGCAAGCACTGCCTTCCTTATACGTACTTCAACCCTGAAGATGAAGGTGACGTATTCTTCTGAAACATCAGTTGACTTTGAGCTGCCTACACAGTGTTATGTTCCAGAAGTTAGTACTCTGCGTTAAATTATTCTTTCCTTAAGATTTTCGCAGTCTGTGTCTAATGTGTAACTTTGAGTATCATCATCATCACCACCACTGGCACGAGAGCCCTTTGTGAGCCCTTGCCTTCCTCAGGATTGCTCGCCATTCTTCTCTATTCGATGCTACATTCCTCCGGTTCTTTACACCCAAAATTCTTATGTCCTGCCACACACATTCTTCCCATATTAACCTTGGTCTTCCCACTCTCCTATTTCCTTCGTAACTTGAGTATAGTCACATCATATGTTGAAACTGTTGCAGTGTTTTGGCTTAAAATGCACTGTCCCTCTTCATCCTGAAGTGGCGACTTCAGGATGTGCTGAAATGCTGGGACAAATTGCCTGAAGATGGCAGCTGCAGTGTATGCTAGAATATAAGAACAGCTTTGGTATATGATGCAGCTAAACTTAAAAAGTTGAAGCCAATTATTGTCGTCATCATCATCATCATCCATATGTTTTGGAAATGAGTCTAGGACAGTGCAAGGTCTGTGATCATTGTATATACAGCATGTCCCATTATCTTGTTCCCTTGGAATAACTCTTCTGTTTAGCATAGATTAAAAAGTGTTTCAGATAAAGGTTGTTCAGTGTACTTAATGGAGTACACACTGATTGTTTGACTGATTATGGTGGACCAAGAAGTTGGTCCACTTGTTCTCTTGACCTCACACCATTGGATTTTTTATGGGAAACTCTGAAGGGTATTTTGTACCACGATACTCCAGCAGCACCAGAATATGTGCAGGAACATATAATTGATGAGTGCTGCCATGGATCCACAAGTAATTGAATGATCGAGGCGGCCGTTTGTCCAAGAATTACAATGTTGCATTAACTTTAATGTTCAACACTTTGAGCACCTTTTGTAAGTCATTTTCTGGCTCAGAATACCAAGTTATTCATTCAGGTTGATATTTTCAAATATTTGAATTCGGTTACACNTGTTATATTTTAGCGTCCTGTTACACTGATTCATGTCCATGGTTTATGCTAACCGTCTTACAGTGTATACACTTTTTCAACTTATTCTTCACTTCCACACTACATGTTTCAGCACTAATGTGCCATCCTCAGGTGTCTTTATGCATGTTAAATTATTGTACTGCATGCATCATGGCATGCAGTACAATAGTTTAACGTGCATAAAGACATATGGCACGTTAGTGCTGAAACATGTAGTGTGGAAGTGAAGAATAAGGTGAAAAAGTGTATACACTGTAAGACGGTCAGCATAAACCATGGACATGAATCAGTGTAACAGGACGCTAAAATATAACAGTTTTGAATTTGTCAAATACGAAGTATAAGGTGTCATTTTAAAGACTTTATAGTGACTTCGATATCTGAGTAACAGAAAATGTTATAAACAATTTATATATGTTATTGTATGACCCTTGAAAAGGGAAATTCTTCATCTGAAACGTCTTTTTATTCAGTGCTAAATAAAAGAGTTGTTTCAGTTGTTCAAGATAAATGGAACTCTCTGTATACATGTGCACAGATTTTTTACAAAATCAGCATCCTTTTGGTTCTTATAGGTATTGCAGACAGCATTTGATATATGTACATCTTGCTTTATAATGTTTGTCTTGCGTTCCTTGTGACATGACTGTACTTTGGGTAAGATGTAAGGGTTCTAAATTATTAATCATGACACCCACATACATTTCAGTATCATTTCAGAGATGTCTTATATCTATGAGTACCATACTCTTCAATATTTTATGCCTAATGCGATTTGCCTGCAGAAGTTAATATGTGACAGAGCAAGTCATTGAGGGAAATACATTTGAATACAGTATGTCACATTTCAGAAGTGTGTTATAAAATTAAATACCACCCAGCAAGTTGTCTATTTAAAGAAATTAAACTGAATAATCTGCCCATATGCATCACATTAAAATTATGTTAGGTGGGTGTCTGAGGATAAATGATCATACAGAATTACTGGGTTTTTGGACCTTTTCCATTGTTCGGAATTCTAGGTAATAGAGGACACAACGTTTTGGAAACTGGATCTGTTTCGCTTTTCACATGAGTAAGGAAGACACCTACTCAGTTGGGCCCCTTAGAAAGAGCTAATCTCAATTGGATCTTTTTCCGTCTTCAGGTGAGAAACGAAGACGGAAACAGATCCAGTTTCAGAAATATCATGTTCTGTATTACCTAGAATTCTGGATGATTGAAGGAGTCCAAAAACTCAGTAATTGTATGTGTCATCCACCATCGTCAGAACCCTTTAGAATCTATAAATGATCATGTTTTAAAAATTTTAATTGTGTTTTTATCATATGAAAGAGAAACTCTGTAAGTTTTATTTATGCTGTGTGTTGTATCAAGTGCACATGGATGTGTTACCTCCAAACTGAGTGATATTGGAGAAATTGCAGAGGACACTCAGCAGTTGCTATGAGAATGGCATCCAATAACTAGACGTCTTTGTTGTGTGCATGTGTGTATGCAGATGGCAGAAGCAAAACCAGTTATTAAGAGTTTAGAGGGAGTTGAGAATGACTTTAATGAAATTCCTGCTCATAGAAGGGAGACACCTTGATTGCCAGTAGTGTCACATATGAAGTGGAAGGTGTAGGGCAGGCTTTCATTTGGAGCCTGAGAAAGTCATAGAAAGGGCATGTCAGGAACTCAGAATTGCTCAGTGCATAATACATGCTTGTGTTACACAAACATTTGAGATTTTGTGCATACAACATCATTTAAAGGAAGATATAATTAGCACAGCAAGAATTTGCCTCTCTAATGCTACAGAATATGGATGAGGATGGTGAGTACATAAAGTGATTCATCTTCTCTGATGAAGCAACTTATCACACTAGTAGTTACATGTACAGGTTCAATTGCTGTGTGTGGGATTCTGAAAATCCCCACATTGGATGGAGTTTGAAAGAGCATGTGCTAAAGTGGATGTCTGGTGTGCCTTAGCGCATGACAAGGTCATTTGACCCATCTGCTATGTGGGAGACATCATTACCAGTTGTGCCGCAGTTGTTTGTGGTCCCAGAAATTAAGAAAAGAGTTCAAAGAAGATGGAGAACTACCACATTGGTGTGCAGTCATCAGTAAACTTCTGGAGAGCACCTCTCCTGGAGGATGGATTGGATGGCCTCCAAGGTTTTGTGATTTAACCCCCATGGACTTCTTCTTCTTCTTCTTCTTCTGAGAGTACAAACAAGACTAGGTCTGCTTCACAGAGAGTCTCTTAGCCTGTGCTGTGGAATGAATCCCACCATACATATGTGACAGCACTCTCTGGCCATTTTTATATCAGATGGACATTGCACAAGTGTTAAGGGGGTCCGGGAAGAAGTTTATTAAGATGACAAAACTTTCAGGGTTTCTCTTTCATATGGTGAAGACTGCGCTCTTGCAGCTTTATGATTATCACAATAACATTTTTTAAAATGTGTCATTCTTCCTTGGGCATCTTATATCAGGTTCAGGCATCACAGAATGAGTCAGCATTTCTTTTCACTTTCGTTCTTTCTGTGTTAGATTCAGGTATCACAAAATGAATCACTGTGTCTTCTCTTGTGTTCTTCTTTCTTTTTATTGTTTAACCTCATTCATAATTCTTGCTTTTAAGTAACTGTACTGAAGTGGATCTGCATCACCATAGACTTATGGATGTAGACAAGAAAACTTCACCAGGAAGTCTATAAAACATGCTTTGGACAAATAACTTAAAGGTTGCTTTGCATGTATAAGATACACATCTTTATGAAAGAGATCTTTAAAATTTTTAAATGTTTGTACTTGAATTTAGGATGCAGGGAACATACAGAAGTAACATCAAGGTCTCCAAGTCTAAAGTCTCTTACTTTGATTTGCCTTACAGCCCAAATGTAGTAGGACCTAGGGATCTGAAATCCTTGATATAAATCATATAGCTTTGTATTTGTTTTTGTAGTTTTGAGAATCTCTCCTCCCCTTTCTCCATTAAATAAGTGGCAATGCTAAGGCAGTCATGTCATGCTTACATGATTCTGCTAGACAGACAAAAGTATAATGCCCTCTGTGTATTTTGATTACAAATCATATAATCACTGATGTGTGCATGTCCTCTGGATGACAAAATATATTTGTGTGTATTCTTGTGTTGGAAAATTATGTTCATTATTTTCATTTTACTGAATAAAAATACTTCACTGCATGTGCCAACATTTCCTTTGATAATATAGTTGCCTATTCTTGTGTGTAAATATTTGATTAGCACTGATG